GGCCCTGGCTGTCCACGCGTCGGCCTCATGTTGGCAGCCATGCAGCAGCGTCTCACCTTTAAGGTGGTGTTGGGGTAGCTGAGGGGCACCTTGTGGAAGGTGCTGTTGGACAGCACAGCCTGCCGGATGTCCTCGAAGATGGTGATGATATCATCCAGCAGGCAGCGCTTGTCTCGGTGGCTCAGCACGCACAGGTGCGCGAACGTGTAGTTGAACCCTTTGTAGTTGACTCGCAGGTCCAGCACCTGCTTGTGGACCCGCAGGACCTGGTCGGCCAGCTCCAGGATGTTTCCCCCGGACCTGGCCAGCAGGATGAGCCTGCCGTACCTGCCCGGCGTGTGCAGATCCGAGTACAGCTTGTGCTTGGACTGATCGATGGGGAACAGGCTGTTGGCGAGGCTGCGCTCGATCTTGGCGAGGCTGTGGGTCGGCGCCACCAGCACCTCCAGGTCCCGCTCCGGCTTGAAGCGGCTCAGCACCGTGGAGCCGAAGATGATGGTGAGCACGGCGGGGACGGTGAGGAAGAAGACGGGGTGCCTGCTGACGAATAAACCCAGCCAGTAGAAGGAAGCCTTGAGCCCTCTGTGAATCACTTGCCGCAGCATCCTCCACAGAATCCGGCTCGCAGATGCCCCGTCTCCTCCGATGAAGCACATGTGACATCAGACTCGGGTCCAGGGCTCAGCACAATCCGTAAGAGAATTACACCACCGTCGTGCGTGCGCGCACAAACACACACAAAAAACACCTGAGGGGGGAAAAAAACAGCACTGCAGCAATTCGCGGCTAGACGGGCGGATGCAGTCGGACAGGCAGACGATCAGAGGAGCATCAATCCGATCATCGAGTCCTGTTTCCGGGCCATTCTGCCTCTGAGGGACCGGGTTGGAGAGGAGTAACCGCCAGAGTCCTCCGCTGCAGCGGCTGCAGTTGCAGCAACAAGCCGCCGCCGTGTCTCCTGTCTGCCGCTGCAGCCTCACAGCAGTCAGAGATGCACAGCACCAGAGCCATGTGGAGGGTGGAGAGGGGTGGAGCTGGAGAGGGAGAGAGGAGTGTGTGTGTGGTTGGGGCTGAGGTG